AGTTTAGAATTGGACACGTGCAACACTACAATGTTGCATTTCCATCTCTTTTAGTTTAACAGTTTTAAATTAAACAAATTACTGACTGATAAAATAATGCTTTTGTTCAGTGAATACCCAATGAGCACAAAGTCAAAAAATTTGGAAACGATGACTTTACCAGATGACGTCAAGAGGAATTAATTTGTAATTATTATATGACTTATTACATTACTTTATTATTCCATATTGTGGTACCATGTAAAAATGCTAACAATCTAGCTATTTTAGCAGGCACCAGGGGTGGCCAATCAAATTGTGTGTGTGTGTGGGAGGGGGAGTAATTTACTGACACATTTTTCATTAAATTTATAAAAAAATAGTGCTAGTTATGAAAAATACCATAGGTATCAAAAGGAGCTAGTGGCAGTATTAAGCAAATGTTAGGTAACTGTCACAGTACATCAGAAATGAATGCTAGGCAACCTGTATAGGTATGAGATCAATTAAGGATCAAAAAACATTTCTTAATTAAGATGATTTTCAAAAAGGTAAAAAAAAATTTTTTTTAAATGTGCAAACAAGAAGTTTATCTGGGCCAGTAACCTACTACAGCCCTGCCATTTGTTCTAACTTTTATGTGAACAGCCAATATTAAAATTACTACAGTGAAAAAACATTTCACTGTAGTTCAATAATGTAGCACAAATTAAAACAATACATGACTATTTTGGTATCTAAGAAATGTGATATTCACATTTTACTAGTCTACACCTTGCTTTTAATATTGATAGCATGTTTTTTTCCCTTTATCACATAGGTGCTGCTACAAAAAGCAGCTGTGCTGCACAGCACACTGTAGGTGAAGTCAGAAAAATATGGCTTAGAAATGCAAGGGACAGAGATGGTGGGAGATGAACAGGAGAAAAGCAGTTTAAATATTAATTAGTATTTTTGAAATTGTTTACTGCACGTGTATAAGACTCTAATATTGAGATTTTAGGTTAGTTCTTTATATGTAATTGTCAATTACTGTTCAGTGTTTTGCACTGTATTAAATTTAATGTATTTGCAGTTTAAACTTGGTTTCATATTAGTTTAAATGTAATATCTTATTTTGTACTATGTTTTAGATAATGTTTACTGGAGTCTAAAATTCTGCATTTAAAATATATCGTGGGTTCCAAAACATCCATAACACTTGGGCTACACGAGGGTCCAAACTACTATCACAAATAGTATTTTAAATGCACATAAAGTGAGCCTGCCATAAACTGTGGGCCCAGGGAGACAAAAATGGGGCCTTTGCTGTACAGCCCACACCATGCCCAAAGTACAGGCTGTACACCAAGGGCCCCAACAGTATGTGCCCCACAGACGCCGTTTCAAGACACATATGGGCCCTGTTTAAGTTGCCCAAACAGGGTACTATTTCAGTCCACAGTTACCCCATAAGGGCTTGTTTACTGGGGTATTTGTTTCAATTCTGAGTTTGGAACGCACACACAATATATAACACAATGTGTACCCTGGACCCTCATTTTTAAATATAGACCCAAACTGCTATTCAGTAAAAACCACTAAACAATCGCAATACATACTGATTCGGCAGGTCTCTGCCAAATAGGACCGCTACCATGGAGTGTTTCGCAGATCAGGATAGACATGTAAAAAATGGATACATGACTGAATTCCAGGTTCTGAGATTCACACTGACAAACTTATTTCCATCCCTCTAACATTTAACATACACACCATACTTAAGAATTCTTTGTCATCTGTTCTTGAATTAGCGCAATTAACCATTTAAATAAATATAATACAATATATCATTAATATTACCATCTTTACGATGGCCGATAAGGTGATCTCGTTCCTTCCTCCCATTGACATTTCTGGAAAGGGAACTGTATGGCAATTATTAAAATGAAATCCAATACACAGAGATGATATATTTATTATGCAATCCATACAATCACCTCATTCCAAAAATATGAGAAATAAAAACATTTGTATTAGTTGTATTTTGGAAATCTATACCATTTGTCAATACGTTACATAGCATTTCTCTGAGAACCTGTGAAAAGTATACATACTAATACACCCAGCAGAAAACATGAAAACCACCATTGTTTATTTTAGAGGTAAATAAAATTCCTACCTATCAATGAACCAACTTTCCGGGTTAAGGAATAGAGCAAGAGCACAATTATGCTAGTTGTACAGAAAATTTTAACAGCTACTCCAAAAGAACTTCTTACAAGAACATGAGAAATGTATACCTCTGGCTTCTTGCACAAAAGGTATTAGAGGAAAGCCTGTAACAATGCATTATGTGATAATGCCACATTAGATAAATCGAAAATGTAAATTTGACATTACAAATAGAAGTATTATGATATTGATGATTGAGAAATGTTGAAATATATAATAATGTAGGTTATACATTTGTAATTTGTTACACGATGTGACGACACATTATGTAATAACGTAGTGATGAAAATTTGTTACATTTTGTCAAGTTATTACATAATGTGGCATTATTACATCTTATGTTGTAACAAGGCCACTGCTAGAACCTCAACTAGCAGTGTGGGTTACAAGGCCAAACCCCCTATTCAGTACCATCTTCACTAGTCTAACATCTTTCCTAAACTGTATTTAGAATATTAGAATAGAATATTATTGTATTTACTTTTACAGTATTTTACTATCTTGCAAGTAAAAAAAAAATCTTTCAGTACAATTACTAGTGGATTAACACACACAAAGCACATACATGTCACTGCCAAAGATAAAGACTTTATGTTTTCATAGGGCCAAAGTAGTCACTCATCCAGAAGTGGTGTAGCCAACAGTTTTTTCCCAGAAAATGTAATTCAATTCTGAATAAGCTAAATAAATTGCTTTAACATTTAAAAGACACAACAAAATGAGAACATCCTAAATGCACCTTTCCCCTGAAATGTGGTTAAAATCAGTCATCATAGTTGAACATTTTAAGGATGCTGGTATATAAATCAGTAAAGGCAAAAGGAATACATTTTGTATATATTTTATATGCATATACAAAGAAACACAGCATTCGGTTTGCACCTAAGATATGAAATTAAGCTGGAATGAAACGATAGATCGACAGAGTATAGCAATGTTTGTTTATGAGTAAGCAGTTTATAATGTAGAAGGAATTGGGCATTCCAGCAAACTGAACCTTCACTGGCATTGAGTTTGCACTCCCCACCCCAATTAAATCAAAAGGCAATTCGAAGCTTTGGTATAATTCATCTTCATACAACGAAAGATGTAAAACTCTCCTTTAATAAAACGGAAAAAGGTTTTGGTAAAAATGCATAACACTGCCATTTTAAAATTAAAAAAAGGGAAAAAAAAAATCAAACCACATCATTAGTTCTATTACAAGGAACCAATCATGCCTTGCAAGTTCTTGTTAAACGCTGTATGGTCCCTGGCATCACATTAATACACCGCTTATTCGGCTAACACTGTTAAAATGTCCCTGCTCCCCTGTCAGCCTTTAATAGTAGTCTAAAAATCTAGACAAAAATTGTTACATCACAATATTTTTGCTAAATGGGAGAGTGTTTGAAAACCATATGGGATTGCTAATGGGAAAGAGCTGAATTTCCATCTTGGTAAGGAGGACATATTCAAGTCAAACATGTGACTGCTTAAACTACTGATTTGGACTAAACCATGACCAAAGCCCCATGTAAAATGTACAATTAGGACTACTGTGAACTTCAGGAACAGGATCTAATTATAACTTGGCATTCCTGAAGCCATAGTTTTAATAATGTCACCTTCAGGTTATTCAAAAGTGAGTCATTGCAATGTTGTCCATAAAGGCTAATTTCAACCCATCTTGAAATCCTTTTGGATCATACAGAATTATTTATTGGATATTCCAAATGTATGCTCATTTGTTTTTATGCTATTGTCTGCAGCATGCTTTACTTTGGAGTAAAATCTGATTTTAATACCCAGCCAAGGGAATAACAGGACAGTACACTCATAACAATACGCATTTGCGCTTCTTCTTCGGCTCAGGTGGTTCCAGTGCTGCCAGTATGGCTTCATCAAACACATTCTTCAGACCTTTCTGCAAAAAAATGTAGAAAAGAATTTAATTTAATTCTGTAATAAAGCAGTTCCACCGTTCAATGTTCATGTAGCACTTTTTCAAACTAGAAGCAAGTATGCCTATGTCAACATACAGGACAGAACTGTAAAAGATTTATATAGGCAAAGAAATTATGGTGACAAGACCAAACAGACTGTATCAATCTAGTACTGAAAGCTGGAAATTAAGTTTAAGGTATTAGTTGAATTCTCCCCAAACGAGGTTGATGAACCAAATGACTTCCTCTCAATTTGTAAAATTATGTTATTAATATTTACAATTGGGCTTTTCAACAAGGACACAGACACAATGATGCAACATACAACTGCATTTTCTTGTGTTCAGCGCTTCACAAAAAACAAGGACACCTACACAAAGCCCAAAGCTGGGGGGGAGGTGGGTGTTTCCTAACTAAAATTTGCATATTAAAAACTGGTCACGTGGTTCATGTGAATGCTGAACATAAGTCCAACAGATACTTTCCTGTGTTTCAACAGATAATAGAAGGGGCCAAAACTTTACGTGTAAACAAAAGAAAACCAAAATTCCACAAAAAAGACTGCAGACACAAAACGGGGCCCAGAGAACATGGGCAGATGAAAGCCACCTCCAAAACAAAATTTTACAGTTTTCCCCAGCCACTTGCCTTTGATGATTAAAGTTGATCAGCCCTGGGTCGATCAGCCCTTGGGTTTAACCTACTACCCTGAGCACGATGCCTCATTCTGGTGTCTGAGAGCTTAGGAGTTGACTTGGCTCCAATGGAGCAATGGATAATAGAAAAGTGAGCACTATTACAGTACAACAGGTGACTAGAGTGAAATGTACCATTGACAGACTACAACTTAATATTGTTACATTGCATTAACTGTACACACTAAAGAAATAATAAAAAAAAGACCTTAAGCAAATAAGCAAGCATTTACAGAGAACACAGTTGTGACACTTTGTACACAATGCAAAAGATGTGAAATGGTGTAAATTTACAATTTTATTAATCACAAATACACAAGATTATACTAGGTTTTCAATCTTTTCTGTACACCAAGAATAATCTATGGCATTGTTAAGCCATAAAAATGTTCAAATTTAATATTCTATGATACAATAGTACAAAAAAAAACATTGACAGAAGGAATGTTATACTATCAAGTCTTACTTCACAATGCATTAAAGCTGAAAAAAGTTTTTGGGGAGGGAGAAATTGAAATGTGAACAGTGGAAACTGTCTAAAAACCCTGCCTTTCCAATACCCATTTCAGACTGACAGCCTTACCCAACCAAAATACAAATTAACATCTGTAAACACACAAATAAGGATATGGCTCAGAGCATAGCTTACAAAGTAACAGGATTAATAACAGTAATTACAAAGAATTAGCAAGAATGCTGCAATGGTTATCAAACTTGCCAGAAAAGCCTAAAAGTTATTTTGGCAGTTATTTTAAAGGTCACAGAAGGGGACAACAAGCAGCCAACAACTGGAAGGTTGGGTGTTAGAGACTTTAGAATATACAGCACTTTCGTTTTCGCTGAGTTTCAGGTGGCTCAAGGGCAGCTAGAATAGCTTCATCAAAAACATTCTTCAGACCTCTCTACAAAGACAGAGGAAAGGGGAGAAAATAGCACCAATGTTAGCAATCAAAGCAGACAGATTAGAAAGCAAGCAGAAGTACACTTTGGCATTAAGGAGCCAAATTCCAAAGGTGGAAGCTTCAGGAGAGACTAAATGTACTTCCTTGAAATTCTGTGTGTAAAAATAAAAGAATACATAAAGAGAAAAAGAGAATGACAAGAATCTCAGAATCACCAAGGTCATGCAATCAGTTTCAACTAATGTACATTGAATACAGACACTCCTCTACTTACAGACCAGGTACATTCCGAACGACCGTTCATAAATTGAACTGTGCGTAAGTCGTTACTCAACATCATTTTAAGGGTATACGGAAGTACAAAGAACTAGGATGCTGGGAGTACGCACGCTACACTGCTGCACATCGGGAGTAGCAGCCAGAAGTCATACTAAGTGGAATTGGCGCGCAGAAAAAAAAAATGATGATGCGGACAGGAAATGGGAGCCCAATGAACACAAGTTGGACTTTCAGACATATGAACGAAGAGGACTGTAAGTTCGTAAGTTGAAAGTTCATAAGTAGAGGAGCGTCTGTACTTTATTTGTAAATGTGACAATCTATGAAGTGGAGTATTAAGCATCTTTTTACTGTATCACCTCAAACCAATACCTGCATACACCGCTTGGCAAAAGTATTCACCACATCAACAGCATCCCCATCAATTAAGTGCCTCAATACTTAAGTAAGGAAACAGACCCAGCATAATGTGGACCTGTTCTGAACTTTGGGCAGAAATACACACACCAGCCCTAAATGTGCCTGAATCCCTCAAAACATCCATATTGCAGTTTTAGTTCAAGCCTAACATTTATAGGCATACTTAAGCAACTTATTGAAACCAACAGCTGTATGTGAAATTAAAAGAATGCATTGCGGAGATGAGAGAGGAGAGGAGGAGGGTTATTTTGTAGGACGACTTTCACTATAATTAATGGAATCACTGCTATCTTTTGGCTCACTGGAATCTTTTTCTGTTTGTGCGACTTTAACATGGAACCCATCCAATGACAGCCTCTTTTGCCTCCTTTTCGATTTCGCAAAAATGTGGACATTACATTGTCAAACAGATTCATCGCTTGCACTGCTACGCCCTTATTTGGGTGGTGCTTTTCTACTAAATTTTGACTATACGGGTGAGGCATGCCGACTGAGACTGAGCATGGGAGACGATTACCCACAATTCCGCAGCGCGAGAAAGTGAATAACCATTGGTTCAGTTGTGATGACGTGCGCTTCCTGTTTTGAAGCCGAGCGCACGTAAAAACAAGAAAAACAAGGAGCGCATGTGTGCCATATGATTTTTGATGATACTTGGCGCTCGTAAACCAGGACTTGCTCGGTTTCCAAGTCAAAATTTATTAAAAATCTTTGCTCGTCTTGCGGAACACTCGTAAACCGCGTTACTCGTAATCCGAGGTTCCACTGTATATGTATTCAGCTAGTGTAAACATGCACGATGCTATCACAGCGAATGCGAGGCTGAGACTGAAGTATTACCCTAATATTGGGGTATTTAGTCATCAAAGGAGTTCATGAATTTCACACAAACCTGTCAAGTGATTTAAACACCAAGAAAGAAAATGATTATGGATAGTCTTGAACGCATGCAGCGCTCATGCAAAAGCAGCAGAGGTAAACTTTAAACTGATTTTTAAAAATATACTAGATAATCTTAAAAATTAATAAATCATTGAAATTGCAAGACTTACAAGTTTTTTTTTGTTATGACAGAGTAAAAATGTGTAAATAAAACTTACTGCGCTATAATATCCATATCAAACTGAAGGTAAAAAAAAGTTCTGATCTCATTTGGCACCTGTACCAGTTTTTACAGCAGTGGAAAACCAACACCTTGAAGTGCCGTAATTCTGATACCTTCTTGAAGTACCCAAAGCACTGTACCTTGTGCGGTGGAAAAGTGCCCTTTAGTTGAGCAGTGAATTGGACAGCTTTATAGCGCTGTAAATTTCATGCATGTTGTTCATACATTTTTTTTTTAATAAACGAGATGCACTCTATTCCTTGTGCCTATAGTGTTATCCGAAGGCAGACGACACTGCCGTATGGTGCTAGAGTGCAGCAACAACGTGACCTCTGCTATGCTCCATGCTTCTTCTGTTACTACAGGGTCAAAGCCCGTGGGGGAAACTGTGGAGCATATACAAAGCACCTAAGCCAGTTTGAGTCCAATTGAATGTATGCAGGAGTAAATCGACTCCCAATCGCATTACGTGGGTGTCTTAGTTAGACTTCAAGAAATCCGATTTAGTACGATTTTAGTCAGACTAGCATGTTTACATGTACTTTAAAAGTCCAGTGTTAGTTGGACTAACACAATTCTTTTTTTGTAGTGTGCATGTAAACATATTGAGTGACGAGAGAGAGAGAAAGAACAAAACATTCAAAAGTCTGTTTGTATTTCACCAGAATTGATGCTGACAATGCTCGTTACCACAAGCACAACATGTCCTTTGTGTGTAAGGGCAGAAACATGAGCAATCCATTTAAATATTTAGCAAAAGTCCATAAAATGGATACGCAGCTATGCACAGCTTTCAACTACCTAGCTTGTAGTTTATCTGTGTTATGTATGCTTCGTGGCCACACACAAAGTTAGCTAAATTATATGAATGTGGATTAATGACTGTGTGTAATTAGCCTAAGCATTTTTTCGGATTGTGGGGGGAAACCAGAGTACCTGGAGAATACTCCATGATGACTGTGGGTGAACACAAACTCTACACAAATGGAATCTCAGTGGAGACTAGAACCCAGGTGCCAGAGGTGTGAGACAACAGTGCTAACCACTACACCATTTGGTGTATACCATTTGGTTACATCACTTTGGTGCACACAATGAATTCAATGAATATATATACTGACAGGGATAGAACCTAAATTCACAAGTAGGTGTACGTACTAACTGTGGCTGTCAGTTGGATATGGCTATGGCTGGTTAGTCAATCATAGGACAACACAGAGTTAAATATCACACGTCAAGTAGCAAACAAATTTCTTAAGTTCTTGAAATTCACATAAGTACCAAACTGCAACTCCTCCCCCAACAAACTTTCAGGAATACCCAGAAATCCCTAATAAAAGCACAGAATTACATAAGACTTTACTAGTATATCTAGGGATGCTCCGATCAGGTTTTTTGCTGCTGATTCCAATACCGATCACCAATGAGTACTGATCACTGCCAATCACCGATACCGATCACATTGATTGACTGTTAATTTTTCAATTTAGTTATGATGAGTGCTACTGGCTACATGATCTGGAAAAAAGGAACAATAAAATAACCTTAATTTAGACAAAAACCTGTGTTTACTTACTTTT